GGCTTTGATGTTCATGAAATTGATAATACAGGGAACTTGGTGAGAAATAAAGACCTCAATCCAGGGCACCAAATGTCTCTCATACACTTAATTATGTAAGTATTAGCAACATGCTGCTAGTCCCTACTCCTTTGGTGGCTAGAAGTCGTGATACAAAAAAAAAAAAAAAGAAATTTAAGGCTGCAACAATTGATTTGTTTGACTTTGATTTTGACCTTCCAGTGTATTTTGAGAATGGGGATTTTACATATAAACTTGGGACGTTATTTGAGACATTGAAGTAAATCACCGAGTTGTTGCTTATATAGTCTGAAATCATGCTATGGTCATTTTTATTTAAATAAACATATTTGTCATAGTGATTTATTTGAGATAATTTTAAAGACTCTCATATGATGTTTATACCTATATAAGCAATCTCTAATTATGAAGTTTCAATTACAGCTCATTTGGCTATACCAGAGAGGCAGTTTAAATTTCTGGTGAATCTTAAATTCATTCTACTTATTTAACAGTATGAGCTTCTCTTGCTGAAAAATATCTTTGACAAAAGCATCTCAGAATATAGAACCTGAGAAGATGCTTTCAGGCTGGAGCAACTTCCCAAGTTTTTCATAGAGAAAATGGCACTTCTCTTACCTGGCACACGTGACAATTGTATTGATCAGAAGATCATGTCATAAGTGGAATCCAGAGTTTCACTTTGAGCTGTTGCCAGATTTGCAGCAGTAGAGACCTAAGAGCCCTTCAATCGCTGACATAACGCTGTCATAACAGATGACCCCTGTACTGCCTGTCTGCAGAGAAAACATGACAGGACAGCTACTTCCTATGGACCAACTGCATCTAACTTTGATTACTTGCCCAAGGAGACTTGCATGGTTTTGCCTATGCTAGGCAAGATCAGATGTGCCCAGGGTCTAGAAACAAGCTAGCTGGTGTGCCAAAAGCCAGTTGTCAGCCAAATAAGAGGGTGCCCCTTATAATAGGATGCAGACACATGTATTTGTCCACTTTCATCAGTCAATTCCCCAGTTAGACCTGGAGTTTTGCTGCCACTGGGTTTTATTCCTTCCTTTTAATTTGCTGCATTAAAAAAAACCCTTCTTGGTACTTTTCACTCAAGCTGCAGTTGCTGCAGTATTAATCCTAACATGAAGAAATAATATCTGAATGTGTGAATATTTTGCATTTCTTTCTTTCAGGGGGGTCAAGAAGTACCATGGAACTACAGCCATTGTAGACAGGCATCCAGATTAACCCAAAGAGAGATATCATGGCACCTCATTCCACAAAAATTGTGCCAGTGACTACTGTCAATCTGTTGTATGCAGCTGGCTTTTCCATACTGCATAAATTTTCTCTAGAGTGAAGAAATGCTAGAATGGGGCTGTGTTTTGGATTTGTGCTGCAAACACAAGCATTGGTATTTCAGGGATGTTTTAGTTACTGCTGAGCAGAGCATGCACAGGGTCAAGACCTTTTGAGCTTCTTGTGCCACCCCACCAGTGAGGGGGCTGGTGTTGCAAAGGGAACTGGGAGGGGACACAGCTGGGACAGCTGACCCCAACTGACCCAAGGGGTATATCCCCTCTTCTTCCAGATCTTAACCTGTGACTGCCTTCCATATACCCACTCCCTTTCTCCCACTGAGTCCTCAGTGCTTCCAGCTTTCTGTTATTTCCCCTCCAACTGGCTCATTTTGACCTAATAAACAGAGGATGAAGTCAAGGACAGATAAGCTCACTGGATACTTTGCAGTTCTAGTAGACAATGCAAGCAGAGAATCCAGAGCAGGGGAGGCAGCTGTAGTTCTCTGGCACTCTGGGTGAATCCCTCCTAGTTTCTCTCTGCCTTTCAGTCAAGCACTTTAAGGCACTGTCATTCAACAGTTTGGATGTGGAAGTAAAATGCAACTGTAATGTTAATTCAGTTTATATTCTAAAACCCACCATCTGCTTTTTATTCTGAGATAATTCTACACAGAGTTTTAGATGCCTGCAGTAGCAGCCATGGGAATTCAGGCATATGGCCACTACCATATGACAAAGTGTATTATCTAATAATTTCTAGTCTTCTCCATGCATCCTCCTGTGCATAAGGCACTTCAACATAATAGGCATCTTATCCTTTAATTCATTCACACAAAATTCACTCCCAGTGAAATCTGCGGATATTGCTACTACCTCTGCCAGCTGTCTGCCTCACCCCGTTTCAGCCTCAAAGGTTTGTGAAACCTCCATAAGTCACTTTTCCTGTCATGCTGAAGATAATAAATAACTGAATTCCCACGAGAAATATCAAAACATTGGATGACATTTTACAGTCCTAATCTGACCTGAATAAAAGTAGAGAAAGAGTTGTTTTCTCATCATATGAGAATCTGGGGCTGATTTGTTACCTTCACCTCATTTAAAGGTTTAGAACAAGATGTGTCAATAGATGTGCAATAATCTGGACAGCATGCAGTCTGTCTAGTTAAACCAAATGACTCAATATTCTATAAAGAAAACAGGTTATACTTATTTTTCCAGGGTGGGAGGAAAATATTATGGGTTCTGCAGAACTAGTTTTAAATACCAGCAGTTCCATAGCTACATGCGTGCAGGAAGGAATCTTGCTGTGAATGTGTAGTATTTGATAAAGAAATGTGTGACAGGAAAGGTCCAGATGTGCAAACACACCAAGAGGCAGGCTTTTCAGCACAACAAACCAGCTCAGTAAGCCCCACAAAAAAGGGGCAGCAGACAAAACGTGTGCGTGCATGCAAGCATGTACACACATGCAGCAGAGATTTATATATCCAGCTTAAGCATTATCTGTGAAACAGCTGAAGACTCCAGTAGTTACCCAGTTCTATTCCTTGGCTGGCATGCAGTGCCCCTTTGCAGTGAGGGCAAGCCAGTTGAGTTGGAAATTAGAGCTCTTGATTAGTGTTTCTTATACAGAAGTGAGGGATCTTCTCCCTCCTATCAATTCCATGCTCTCTTTTCCTGAGCATACAAAAGTAATCCATGCACCACAGGATGGATTTGACCTTTCATGTGTTAAAGACCAAAATTCTCCACCCCAGCCTCCCATAAAATTGCTACCTTGGATGCTGGTTAAGAACTGAAGGTAAACCAGTTGCTTTAGAAAGAAATCAGTAATAAGCCCACTCCTTTTCATCTTCAGTACTGTAAAAAATAAACCCAAGCAAGTACAGAAATATCCATAGGTTTCCTTAATCTGTTTATAAAGGATGTTCAGTCATATTAGGAGCTCATAGTAGCAATTCAAAAGCTAAATATAAAAGCAGCTTTATGAAGTACTTATAAAGTCAGTAAGAGGCTTTTTATTTTTAGCATATTTTCCTGTGAGATAAAGATAATGAATGTAGAAAGCATCCAAACCCAAAATGAGATACGCAAAAGAGATCCCACGATCTGCACCAGGAGTGTTACAGAATCAGCATGGAGAGAGCAATGTTCTGACAACACCATCTGCTCATTTGTGCTGTTTTTTCCTATTACCAGCTCTCTTAATGCCTCATGCATGATTTTCTGTGGAAGTCAGGAGGAGTGTATGATTTATTTTGACATTAATATTTACCACGCTGGTGTATGCTTAAAGTAGCCAAGATGCTAAGAATGTTTTCTCATTTAAACACCCATTGAAATGGGTTTCCTTTTTCTTTAGAGGCATTAACAAGTTATTTTGTCACTTCACTGTTACATAAAAGTCATATCCCACTCACATGGCATTAATTTAGGTAAATACCACTACTTCAGCTCTTACTAGAACTGTAGACTGAAAGAAAAATTACTTCGTTTTTCAAAAACCTTCCTGGCATTTTATATTGGTCACTAAAGAGCAGTGAAACAAAGTTTCAGGCTGTGAAACTTCAAATTCTTTACTCTTAGCAATTTAGTGAGAAATTAAAATGCAAGATACTCCTGCAAGATACTCAGTCTGGACACTGAAAATATTATGTTTGATTGTCCCTTCCTGAAACCTAAACCAGATATTTCATTTGCATTTATTAGCATTTTACAATTACAATTGTGGATTCTGGGTAGGGAGCATTCCTGACACATAGGGGTTTTTTAGAGTTTTGAAACAAGGCTTACAAATAAGGTTTGTGTACTCTGATGAAATAAAGCAAAAGTGTGCACCGTCTGTGCATTTCAGATCTGTTGCATGACTGCATTATATTATGGATCTACAATCTTTTCATCCAGAAATGGATTACAGAGATGACAGATTTCTTAAAATAACCATTATGGATGTAAATCATATTGACAAAAGCAAAGAAATCCCATTCAGAAAAGACATCTTGCCTCAGCCAAACATTCTTGTGAATGTGGATGATTATATATGATTTATATACAAAGGATTTTTTTTTAATAGCTAGGGGTAGAAGCCTAAAATTTCATTTTTTTCCTCACTAACAAAAAGACTGTCAAAGTTACATAGCAGTGGTGTTGTTACACATGTACCAAAGAGATTGCTCTTAAACAGCTCTGTGTTCTAAGGTGGGGTCATGTGCTGTCCGTTAAGAAGAGACACTGATATGGCAGAGATGCACTCACTCACAGCATGAATAGCAGAGACAAAACTCAGTGTTTGCAATTCTCCTGCACAGGATTACATTATTTTTCACAGCAGTTACTTTCCCTATATTTAATATTTAAAGGACAAAGGCAAAAATGAAAGAGCTGTAGAATACTTGAATGCAGCTTCTGATGGTTAGTTAAATTAATCCTGATGCCACCTCTTTTTTTTCAAGTTTTGAGATTTTTTAAAATTTATGTATTAATTATTATATAGGTATTATGTATTATTTTTGAAAAAATTATGTATTAGTAAATATATTAGAGGAAGCTATTCAAGATACAATATCTTTAGTGTTTAAAACCTTTGGAAATTAATGCATTAGAAAAGCATATGTGTTATAAAACATTACCTCTGCATCTTTTGTTTTTTAGGAGCTACAAGATCTTCTGAAATAACTTGTGAAAATGTGCAGTCTTAAGTGCTGCAGTCTCAGAGCCCTTTTTCTATTGCTGCTCTATAGGTAAGAAATATTTGCTAAAATATTATTTCTTCAATATATTATTATATCAGTTGGTTTATAATAAACTTACTTATAGTTAGAGACATATCTGACCAGGTAAAAAAGTAAAATCTTCTTGGCATTTGAATCGTGCCTCTTACAAAAATTGAAGAACCTGGGTATTAATAACAGAAATACAGGACTGAGCTTCATGAATCTCAGCTGCCTTAACAGATTTTTTTTAATTGGAAAGATTGATGAGAGAGAAAAAGAATGGAATTTATGAAGCATATCAACACTCAAATAAAGAATTACTGGGTACAGAGTGAATATTGTGTCAGATGCTTAACAAATTCAGATGGGCACATGGTCCTTGCCTGGAGCATAGTGCCTTGCCCAAGGACAGAAGCATACAGTCCACCTAGATTTACTACGAGCTTGAGATAGTGAAATCATCATTGTGCACTAAAAGGAGTGTATCTTAAAAAGAATTACCTACTTGAAACACTGTTTTCTCATTCTCTGTTGCGAAATCGTGAAATCTTTAGGAAATCTGAGTTGCGTTAAGCTGAAAATTGAAAATGATCCCCTCTGGCTACACATAATCCTTCTAACAGCTGCCTTGACAAGAACATATAGAAATGGAGCACTTAAAATATATTCCTTCTATAAAAATGGGAAAAAATATTTTTTAAGTAATTCTAATAAGAAAATGTAAGCATGGACAGGTTAAATGTTCTCATCACTACTTTCAACTGAAGTATTTAAAGCCAATTCTTTATCTAGAATTGCCTACCCTACTTCATCTCACAGTAAATTCCTCAGGATAAGGTTCTGTCTGAGCTTTAACTAAAGTGGGTGTGCAAACACTCATTTAGATAAAGCTTTCTCTCGGTAGTGGGAACAGGTGGAACAGCCCCCTGAAAGTGAGTTTAAAACATCCACCTACCCCATCTTCTCCAGTCCTATAGAGAGATCTTTGTCCAAAACACACACTTGCTCTAATTCCACCTTCTTTCCTTGTCAGCTGTGACTTGCCACACTGTAATAAGTGGATGATTCATGGCTTAGCCATAATAACACACTGCCAAGAGACCAGAAATTTCAGAAGCATCCAAGTAACAGGGAGGCAAAATTCCCCCAGGAGCTCAGCCTGTGGTACACAGTTCATTATTATCAGACTCTGATAAGAATGCTAAGATTCCTCTTACATCTTCATCTGGCAGTGAGTGTCCAGAAGCAGAGGCAGTTCATTCCTGAGTATCATCCACGGGGTTAAGGGTACAGCACCTGTACGAGTGCCTGGATACCAGGGCACAGCGCTGGGCTGATGTACCCAAATCCAGACACAAGCTGAGAAGCAGCTCTGGCCCTTGGTTATCTCACAGACAAGATGATGCTTGGATACAAAAATATGTTTTTCCAGTGCACAAGTCAGGAGGGGTTTGTGAAAGTGCTGTTTAAACCAGAAACTATCCTGCTTGGCACTGAAATAGAAAAGTATTTCTAAACAAAACCCAAGGACTGAAGTGCACCCAAAGCACCATGATTTTTTGCCAAGTGGTCCCTCAGATATTCCACTTGGAAAACCTCTGCCTAACATGTGAAGAGTGTTTCTTCTACTGAATAATTTACTATCAGTAATGGTATGGGGTTGTTTCTTTCCTTTCCATCTCTCCTTGCCTGAAGGACACCACTTAACATTAAATTACATTACAGTCACATCATGGTCCCCTTTCTAGTATTAAAATCTTTATCTGGGGAGTTTGGATGATTGCTTTCCCAGATTTTTTTTTTTTTTTAAAGTAGTAATGAAAAAAATGTTTCCTTACCAGGAATCAGCTTAAGTAAATGTAGGGTTCTTGGTCCGAAGAAGGGTTCCCATTTGTTTCAGATAGGGTGTTTTCAACATAAAGAATGCTAGCCTGAGTTTGTGGAATCAGAGACAGAAAATTCTATGAAATGTTCTTTTTTTTTCTTTGCCTGAACTTAAGAGCATTTATGGTTCTTCACTGTTTGTTCTTGCATCTGCTAACATGATGCTACAGTTTCAACCTCACCATTTAATGAAAAAAGTGGTGACAATATTGTCTGTTTCAAAGCAGAGACTTAATCAGAGATGTGGTAGACTTTGCTACATTTTATCTGCAAAGACCATATAAACCCCCATATCACTGAGAACAAGTATGAAACCAGAAATAACAACTTTATTTGCATCTTTAAGCCCTTCGCCTGTCAGTGAATTGCCTGAAAAAAAGCTTTTTTTATTCTTGTTTTCCTGGGGGGAGTGTTTCAAAAAATTGTTCAGACTGTATCTGGCATTTTGTTTATCTTCTTGCAGTTCTAAGGTGTTTCTGTCTCTTTCATGATACATAACTTCTGACAAAAAATAGCCAGAAAAAATATTCTCGTACATGTGTCTAGACTGTACTTTTGCCTAAATAAATGATATATACTACTGTTTAGGGCAAATGTTCCTTTTTTCCCTTCCAGTTACCCCATTCTGTTAAGACACTAACTTGAAATTACCTTAAATAAAAAGCAGTTGTTTTACCTTTCAAGTTTAGCCAAACCCATAACAATCCTCAGTTTTTGAGCCATAAGAATGACTTGGGAAAAGAAATAATTATAATTCAGCTTTCATAAAAGCAACCAGAGGGCATTGAACCTGATGAGTTAAAGCATTTATTATGCATTGCCAGCCCAGAACAGATAGATATTGTCAGCTGAAGAATGATTATACACTCAGTTTCTTTCTGTGAAAGCCTGTTCACTCCTCAGTGGCTGGGACACCTGTTGCAAGGCAATTCCATACTTAGATGCATGCCAAGGTATTTCACATACATCAGAAAAATGGAAGAACTTTAACAGCTTCCCTTAAATATAAATATACTTAAATATAACGGCACAGATTTGGTTAAAAGAGAAGCCTAGGTGCATTGATGAGAAGATGCAGATGCGTAAGTGGAACAGGCCTCAACTTTTACTTTATCCTTTGCGAACGTGCGCAGCCGTGAGCTCACTGTGGATGAGCTGTGAATGGAGCACGTGAATCAAAGAGCTCTTTAAAGGAAACAGGGCATCATCCCTTAAAACACAGAGCCCCCAGACTACTTAAGGCACAGAAGCTTGGTAGATTCCTTATCCTTCACCTCTGACCATCTGCCTCTGGGTATCCCCAGGGCTGGTAACACCACACACTCACGTTTGGGAGGCCTCAGGTTCCTCTCACTTGCTGGCTTGCTATGATAGGACTTCTGTAAGGTTTTGTGGCCAAACAGCACACAGGGGACCATGCCTCATTAATTCACAGTCTCAGTTACAGTACATCAGCTTTCCCAGGCTTAGGTAACCATAAAACTCAAAAGACCAGTGATATGAGGCTGCACGTCATGTGTTAATGAGGAAAATGAGTTACCACAGGTCATTTAAGGGAAGGACTTCCATAAAAAGTTCAAAAATATATCATAGAAAATAGGAGCTAATGATAATGAACCAGACCACACTAGAATTGCATGCTGATTGGCAGAACAATGATATATCCTTGCAATAGAAAAGAAACAAGTTTTCCTTTAAGATTTCACAACGGGTACAACTTATTCAAGAACAATCCAGTAAAGTTGTGAAATTAAACTCATGCAGCTCACTGAACACTTAGCTAAAATTTATATGTAAATTACAAAAGGAGAGATATCTATTCCAAGTACTGTATTTAAGAAATTAATTACATTTAAATGCATTTCCAATTTTAACACTTCTGTTCAACATAAAACTGGCCTTCTTATTTATATTCACATCTCAATTCGACATGACTGTGCTTGTTTCTTTAGGAAAAACTTCCAGGACAAACTTTACTTATTTCAATGCTGGTATTACTCAAGGGTATACTTAAGTAACAACATCATTCTTTGGCAATATAGAAATGAAAAACGGGGAAAAACTGAAGGAAAAAAACAAGATCATTCAAATAGCTAAGATATTTGTTTTGCAAGGAAGCTAATGAAAAACAGCTACTTCTGTATTCAATAGGGTGAATAAAAAATTATACAGCAATAGCAGCTTTTCAAGCCAGTGGACACCACATTTAAGACCACAGTATGATTTGGCCATGTGCATTCAGTGAGATCATCTTAAGCTTTGCCAGTTTAAGATACTGGATCATTCCTAGTGGATGAAATTCTCAGTGTCCTGACAAAAGAACTCAGGCTTTCTCAGAAACAGCAAAATTAAAATCAAAATAGCAAGCTTTGGAAAGCTATAAGAGACCCAGACATATAATGCAGAAGAAGAAGCAGAGTTTTCAGGAGCAGCTCCAGAAAGAACTGAGACTAAGAAATGCAGTGAGGATTTAGCACTATAAGGAAGGACCCCAAAACAGTGGTAGCCCCTTACCCAATGGTTTGTACTTAGATGCTTCTCCCTAGGAGCAAATCACCACAGCTGCAGCTCTTGCACCTCCTGCAGGAGAGCTGGTCACTTTTAGGGGCCAGTGATTCCCAGAGCAAGGATTAAAAACTACAGACCCTTCTCCTGCTGTTTATATAGGTGTCTGCTCTCCATCAACAGAGACAATGCCTCTCCCATCTGGGCTCACTAAGTCGATTAATTATTTGCTTCTCACCTTCATAATTCATACCCCACCTTTCTCAAATCACTGGGAACAAGTAGCCGCAATCAAATCTGTGCTTTAATTTCTGAAGAGCACGCCCTGCTCACAGTCTTGGGGTGCTCACCTTCAGGGTTAGGCAGAAAAGGTTTGTAATTATTTATATATAACTTCTGTGGATTGTATTTGTAGCTGTTTCTGAACAAAGGATGTACTTGAATTCTCATTACGCTTCGCCGGTTTTGCTCAACAGGATTATTTCTGTAACCTGTTTAAAAGCTGTGTTGTGAAAGCAGGATTTGAAGAGTGTTTTTATGCACTTGTCTCTGAGGTTGCTTTCTGTCTCTGAGACCTAAATATAATGTATTTCATCATGTAAAAAGAAAAAATTAAATTAATTTTAAATGCTGAAATAAACAATCAGCATCCCCTCCACATTCCTAGATTATAACCATAATGCCTTGTTTACAGATTAAGTATTAAAGAAGATTGTTTCTCAGATGGAGTGTTAAGAAATAATAGACCTCAATGTCTAAAAAGAAATAGAATTAGACTTTAAGGTATAACAAGAAATAATAAACTTTAAGGTATAAAAGGGATTTTTTTTCCCAATAAGAGACTAATACAGATTATGAAATCTGATATTTTTTTGAATATTGTCTTTTTTATTATGTCCTTTTAAAGCATCCTCATTTTCAATTCCTTTTAGGTCCATGCAAATTCCTGAAGCTGAAGGGAAAACTGAAATTCTACCTCCAACAATACAAAAAATAGTGAAAGGGTACAACAAGTATCTACGTCCGTTTTTTGATAGTAAGTAGAAAAGCTCTGTTAGTAAGACTGAGCCATAACATAATGTGGTGTCTAAATTTCAGCAGTGAAAACAAATGGGTTTTTTCTGTACTTTTTTCCTCTGCTGACAGCCACTGATCTGATTATACATGTTCTGTGATATAATAAGATAGAATTTAATAGCTTTTGTTGCCCAAGGTGAAACTTGTGTATTCCAAGCATTTGAAAGCTAAACTTTCAGACTGTTAGAAAAATTGACTAGCATTGTATGAGTGTCTTCATGAAATAAGCTGTAACATCTTAACCTATTTAAAAGCATAATTTCCTCTAATTTCCTAAATAATAACTATAAAAAGCTTTGATTAAAGATTTGAAAGCTTTATATATCAAGCTGTTCATAACAGCACAGGCAAATCTTGTTACTATGCAAAGTACTATGTGCCTCAACTGTAAGATTGCAAGAGAATTATTTAATAAATAATTCTTGCCTCAGGTCTTAAAGGTCACTGAATAGATTTATTGAGAATTGTAGGGGGGAAATGAATTGAAAAGGGAAAATGAATCAAAAATGTCAGTTCCTGGCATCAGAAGCTAATGGTCACCAGATTGGAAGGCACACATAGTCTACTGCATCAAGGGTGATTTTACTGCCCTGCAGTGCAGTCAGGCACCTGAAATCCCTAATTTGAGTCAGGCTACTGCATATGCCAGAAGTACTGAGGAGTTACAAAGTGGCAGGAAGAGCTTGTCCTGGAGAAAGTGCAGAACACTGAAGAAGAAAATATTCTGAATGTTGAGAAGAAGCTCAACACCATGTGTCTGTCAGAAAATAAACTTGTAGCATGAATGCTAGGCAATAGCTCTTAGGCTTGAGGTTGGGAAATGTTAGGGGTATGAATGTCAAATGAAATATTTATATCCCTTTATATCCTGCTTAAGAAATGACTGAATAATGAGTTTCTAAGGTCATACTGCTGGAATCCTGTCAGCCAAATACCTGGTTCGATATGGATGCTCCACATCATGTTTCATTTCTGAATCCATAATTTTAAGATATACCTGTATTTTAGGTTGAAGAAAAAGGGGAAAACTATTTCACCTGTCTGTTTTTATTGTAATTATCTTAGCTGATGATAAAAGTGCTACAAAATATTTAACAGTCTAAGGAGATTTTCAGCAAAATTAAAGTAACTTTAATAAATAAATTAACCCTTCCTCATTGGAGATGATGCATAATGTAAAATAACTGTGTTCAGTGGCAATTAATATATTTTATTCATTACCTCATGTTAGTACTAGGGATATGTTGGCAGTGCCATGATGAGTGAGCTTGAGCAGACAACAGAGTCTCATTTCAAAGTCTTATAATAGCAATTAAGACCTACCGTAAATCGTACTTGAGTTACAAATCTCCTTTTAATTTTCTCCATCTCTTTTTCCTTAGCTGTTGTATCACAGCAAGGCTATAAATTTTTGTCTGGGTATTTTGTTCAGAGGGATGCTGAGGCCTCTCTGGGTGTGCCCAGAAATCCCAGAGGAGCTCAGGCACAGATTGAGTCTGTGTCACACACAAAGCCAGTCTCGCACCTCCAGACAGCTCCAGCATCGCTGCACATGCTCACTGCAGCTCAGGCATGCAAGCACTGCCTCAGAAATCTCTGATGGATCTTTATTAGCTCTAGTGCTGAAGGAATGAGATGACACTCTGAAAAAAAAATACACATTTTATTGATGCCACTTCTAAATGTAGGGTTGGTGGTTTTGTGAGAAATTACTTTCTTTGTAGGGATAATTTGAGTTAGGATGACTCAGGCTATGCTTCTCCTGATTTTTGGACCTGTAGCTTTTTGTGAGATCATTTGGGAACACTTTCCCTGTTATAGAGGAGTGTGTGCTTGGGCTGGGGAGGGGTATCAGCCTATTTCTGACTCCCTCTCTGGGGTGGCAGGGCGGGCTACACTTTGCATGAGGGCATGCCTTGTCAGGCCCAGGAGAAGCTATTGCTCTGCTCAGAAGCAGAGCTAGCAAACCACCTAAACCCTCAGCTTAACAAACCTCTGGAATAGATTTATCTGTGTGACCACAGCTATGCTAGCTCTGTTCCTGATTTTCCTGATTGATATGGTGTTTTTTTGCCTGCAGCTGATGTACCTTGTGTCTGTTCTTGGTACCTGGCTTTACTCAGGATAACATCAATGGCTGCAGCACAGCTGGCAGAGAGCTGATGAACCCAGAGCAGCAATTAGTCATTGGCACCTCTTTTCCCTGCTCTGCTCCTCCCAAATCCTTAGTTTCTTTGGGATTATATATTCATGTTGATAGTGAGAGACTGACCAGCTAGAGACAGATCTGCTTTTGACCTTTTGACAGGTCAAGTAGCTGATTAGACTCGAGTAGGCTAATGAACAAATGCACATTAAAAACATAAACTGGGGTATTCTGGCAGAGATCATCAGCTGCTGTAAAAGCCTGCACAGTCTTGATTGTGCAACCTGTCAGTGGTGATATACTCTGAGAAAGAAACTTGTATTTCTAGAAATATGAACAGAAAATGATGGATATGCACCTGACAATCTATGTTGGCTGTCTTGAACAAAAGGATTTGTATAAATGGGAACCTTGTATGTGTATGTTAATATGCAGAAATATCTCCCCAAAATATGCTGAAGCCAGCCTTTTTAAGACACTTGGCTTCCTTTCCTTTAGTTTTGGCCAAGATTCTTTTGCTTTCAAAAATATGTGTATTTCTGTTTATTAGCCCAGTTAGATACACACTCATAAATATGCATGAAGAAATTTGTCATAAAACTAGATGGTATTATTTGTTGGCATATGCAGTGCTTTAAGCTTAACGTTAGTGAGTCATAATGGAACTCTGAAATGTGATTTTTATCAAGTGTGAGAGGGCCAGAGGTGAGCTTAAATTTTAGAATAACATTTAAAGTAATTTCAAAGTTACTTGTCCTTGAAAACTTTCTTCAGGCAGGAAATGGCAATTTTTGAAGTGATGATTGCTGCCAAGATACAGTCATATGCTTGCAAAATCAGTGACACTGAACTCCTTAGTATTTAACAAAATGGGGTTTTAGTCCTGAAAAGAAAGTTAGGTACAAAAAAATGTTCATTAAAAGACAGTTCCTTTCTCCTAAAGCCAGAAAAACCAGAAATATTTACTAGTCGAGTAAAATTTATGGCAGCTCATATATTTTTAGTTTAACAAGCCCTTCATTTCTTATTAATTTGTTGGTCTTTGTGCTAGGATTGGCAGATGACTGGAAATGTCCCAAGCACATACCCCAGCTCGGGTAGTGTCATTAACAAGGGGACCATGAAGATCTTTTTTCATGCGAGTCCAATGACTGCTTAACAACATAAAAGCTGTCTTCTCCTATTCTTGCTTGGGTTGAATCTACTGCTTTTCTAGATTTTAATTCTGGGTTTATCTCACCTTGCTTTGGTCATGTCCTCCTGCACAGGTCACCCCTCCAGACCCTGGCTGCACAAACGCTGCTGCTCCTGTGTAACACAGGCTGTCCCTCCCATCTCTAAGCACATAAATGGGGTCCCCAAAGCTGGATCGCTTGGAGCCAGCCTTAGTATGCCAGAAGTCTGCAGACAAGTTAAACTGGCTGAGTGTTTTAGATTTGTCCAGGGTGGGTGGCATGGACCAGTTGCCAAATTGTGAGGGTATTTTAGACGCTGTTAGCACAGAGGAATCTCAGCTGGACTGGTTCTTTAGCCCTGCCCTCATCTGAATGCTGCTATTAAGAATGCTCTCTTTCCTTACCTATAACACTTTAAGGTCCCTCTTTTAGGGAGGTTCATCAAGCAAGTCTTCATAAATTAAGCAGATAGGTGCAACAAAGAATTAAAAAAAACCCCAAAGCCCTAATCTGGAAAGATTGTAGCCATTCTTTGGACTGGAATGCAAAATACTCTTATACTAATGTTAGTTGATATTACTCCTCAGTGTAATGATATCTATCCTACCCTTACAGATATATATGGAATACTTCAATAGAAAAGCTGGCATAAGGGATTTAAAAATCAACAGTTATTCCCCTTAAATGTGCTACGTTACTGCAACACTTTATCTCAGCAATACAAGTTGATTTCCACCTCAGGTTTTCTGCTGGAACCATGTAGATCAATTTTATAACTTTATGTGCTGTGCCAAACTCTCTGAATTAATGAGTAATTCCTGCAGACTTCACTGAGCGTTGGATCAGGTTCATAGGGTTGTTAAGGGTTGCATAAAATCTTGTAAATAATTTTATACAAATAGATTTTGTTCTGTGATTGAATGTGATAATTTAAGTGTTCTAATTAAAAAGAGAGAGACTAGGAAAAGGTCACAGCTAAGTATATTTGAATATGGAAGCTGCTTTCAAGTGGTACAGAAAAGTGTCATGCTTAAATCAGTTATTCTAAATCACATTTAAAAGATCATTTTCCTTAGCTTCATAATGAGTTATAAATTTCATAGACTTAAGTTTTAAATTAAAACTAAAAATTTTGGGTCCAACCTTCAATGTCTTCAATGTCTTCAAGTCTAAGACCTGCCATCATGGGTTTTTTTCCTTTCAAATTTTGTTTATATTAAGTTCTATTAATTTAATTAGATTAAGGCATTTTAGTCTTCAGAAGTGTACAAAAGAGACAGAGAGATATCAGAATGTTAGCTGTGTCTAACATCCTTTGGTTTAGTGAGCCAAACTCTCAGGGTGCATGAGAAAGAAATACCAAATAACCATTATCTAAGGACTATTTTAGCTAGTCAATATCTAATCCTTTACAGAAAAACAAAAAGCCCAGAAATGTAAACTTCAGCATACACATGGTAATGGAGATTTCCTTCCTGTCCCAGGGAACCAAGAGTCACTGTGAGCATCTGACTGCCACCAAACCCAGCCTGTCCTGTGTGCAGGACAGTTGGGGTTTTGGTTTCTGAGTTCTCCCTTGCCTCTCCAACCTCTCCCAAGGCTTAGCTCCAGAGACTCTAAATTATAAACTGTGGTTATGTTCAGATAGTAAAAAGACCAATTTAATGGAAGTTTCCTGTTGTCTCCTGCATCCATAAACTGGGATCTTCGCCTTGCCAAAAAATGTGCACAACTAACTACTACATGCATTTTCTGACATTGGACAAGCCACCTTCCTGACTTCTCTTTGAGGACTGAGTAAACAACGCTCCTTGATTTTTGTTACAAGATTTGATATTAAGCTTCCAGGTTTTTTTTGCCTTTTGAAATATTTCTCTTTCTCTTAACCACACTGTGTCTGCTGTTTGCACATTTTATTTAAATGTGGAAAACAAATCTTGTCACAGTCATAACAGTCTTGCCAATACAGAATAGATTGCAAGATAACTTAATTCTGTGCATTATTCCCCGTTGCAATAATATTGCTGCCAAAGCATAAGATGGAAAGAGCATGTTAAAATGATTATGTGTGACAGCCTCTAAATCCTTCTCAAAGGCACTGCTTGCCTCTTGGTTTCCTATCCTGTATATGCTGCTTGTCTTGTTTGTCCCCACAAAAATTGCTTGCATTTGGCTGTATGGAAACATGGGGGTTTTGACAAATGATTTAACAAGCTGTTGTTAATATGGTTCCCACCAATTTTTGCCTTCTCTACAAACTGTACCAGCAAAGCAACACCAAGGTCTAAAAATTATTGATGCAAACTAATAGGATTGAAACTGATTTGTGCTAGAAATGCATCTGTCTTCTGATGCCTTCAAATCAAGACTTAGAGTTGAGCTCTGCCAGAAGACCTGTCTTATCCTGTCCACTTTCTTCATGTAACCATTTGTCAAGAAAGATGTCTTGTGGCGGGAAGTTAAATGCACTGAAAAAAATCTAAGCATAATATATGTCATTATGTAAGAATTCTGTCATACTCCAAAGCAAAGCTGGCAATCAGAGAGACAAAATGAGGTTTTCAGGAAGTTATAATGAATTATTCTAGTGACAATTTTCCTTCTATGTTTACTTGCAATCTTTCATCCAGTATTGCTGAAAAGATGAGACGTTCTTCCAAAAAGTCATTCCTTTGAAAGCCTTTCTGAAAGTCAGAATTGTTTTGAGTTTTCTTAAACTACATGAACAAGGGCTCATGCTAACAGCTCAGCACTGGAAGTTATTGATTGTGCTGATCCATTGCAGTAACAGGAGCACATCACACAGTGATGGTTTATTGTGCTGCTACACACTGGGATCATTGCAGTGAAAAGTTAATTTTTAGGTACATTATCTGCCACTCTTCTGGCTGCTTTCCCATTTGGCATCACTGAATATCCATAAAGGGCACAGAGGAGCAGTGTACATAAATTGTAGTGAAATTAAAACGTGTGCTGCTTAGTGCACAGCCACTGCTGTAACAAGGCGCTCCCTTTGGCAATCCTCTGCCATGCTTTGAAGATTCCCTTCAATAATGCAGGACAAACTGACTTCAGTTTTCTTCTGAAGATCGGTAGATTTCTTCTGATGTTGTCATTATACATACAATTTCTGCCAAACATATGGAAATGTAGGAACTGACTGCCTCATCTGGTTTGCTGCCCAGTTTTTGACACTGTCAACAGGAGACCTTTCAGAGGAAGTTCAGAGGAAACCCTGGTGAATAATTATGAGCAGACTCATTCTGTTATTAATACTTTACAATTTATGGTGCCTTACTAAAGAAACATTTATCCTCACATGCAAGAAATAAAGTAGCATTTAACTATTAATGTTGTCCTAATTTAATTAACTGCTGGAGCAAAGCTCTTCTTAGCATCTTGTACTGTGTTGATAAAGATCCTTTCCATAACTGTTGTTTTCCTGCACAACTCCTCCCAGACAGCACATTTCTGTATCTGGGGTGATGTATTTCTTCTCTGCTGAGTTTTTGTGGTTGCTGGGCTGGACAGGCTGGGAGCACTTGGGCAGTGAGAGCTGCTGGCTGGGGTGAGTGGAGCAGGGATGGTTTTGTCCTGCCTGTCCTTGAACCCCAAGGCAGATCTGTGTTCAGGCAGTTTGAGCTTGAAGTACATCTTAACCTGAGCTAGATGTCTTGTGCTGCTTGGGAGTCACCCAGCACTGCAGTGCTGTTGTGTTACTCAGTAATGTTTCGAAAAATACTTCAGCAGGAGAGAAAAAAGGATCTACAAAGTCTTGTTTGTCTGATTCCAGAGAAATGACCCCCTGCTTAATTTCAGTAATCTTTCTGGAAAGTCACCTTTTCCCTTCATATGAGTAACAACCCATCACTGATGATACTGAAATGCTGCTAAGGGACATTTTCCCTAATCTGTATCACCTTACTAGTCAAGGATCAGGTGTTGTTCCTACTAATAAATCATAATATAGTAAAAAGGGCCTGATTATTCCCAGCCATGATTCCTGCATTATCATCTGAACACTGCCTTGTGCTCTCCTTGGGATGGCCCATCATTAAGCAGGTGCCTTGCTGGATAGAGCTCTCCCCAAATGTGATAGTTGGCAATAATATGGTCTGTTACAGTCATACATGGGAATCTCTAGGAAGACATAGAAAAATTCAGAATATGGATTATAAATCACATTATTTTAAAATTCAGTGGTCTTTGGGGGTCTGACATATCTTTTGAGGCTGGCAGTATTGTATCAGCAATAATGATATAGTACAATGCTAAGTGTAAGTATTAATTGTTGCACCCCAGGGAGCTGGGGATGAGTTTCCTAGGGGTTGAGCTTTTCATCCTGGAGAGAGAAAACATAGATTTATTAATGGAGTACCAAAATATGAAAAGAATAGAAAGAAACAGAAGAACAACCTGTCAGTTATCTGAGAGTTTTTCAGTCAATTTTATTCCAAATTTAATCTCCAAAGTCTTCTTTCAATATCTGAGCAATTGTTTCTAAACCCAATGGATAATTTAATAGTATATAATAAATACATTATTACCAGCAGGACATGCTGCAAACCTGAAATTCTGTTTTAAGGTGGAGCTTTATATTTAAACTTCTAATCGAGTCCAGAGTGAAGGACTTACAGGTTTTTTCCAGGAGTGACAGATGTGTAATGGTTTAACATGTGCATTAGAAATAGAAAATAGTTTGGAAAAAATAAAAATACTAATAAATTTATACATCTTACAATGACACATTTTTTCTTAAGTGTTACTCAGTGGGGTGGAGTTCCTCTGTGTTCCTCTGGATGCCATTTGGGGCCGTCTAGGAGATTTCTACAAAATGTATTGCAAGGAGACAAGAGGGGCTTTCAGCCATGTGCCTGTGAGACAGGGACACTTCCAGCTACAGAGATCTTCCCTAAAGTATTTCTGCATTCCTCAGCTCTGTGTTCTCTTCTTCTCAATTGCATGGGAAAATGCACTGATTTAATATTAATTTCCTTGTACAAGCGCTCTGTTAATTATTCTGCACATATTCAACCAGGAATAATGTCGTGTTTCCATCAAAGCTCTGCACAAATCCTGCATTTTAAAATACACAGCTAGTGATCTTCCTTCCAACAGTGTGAAATGCACATTCAGAAGGAAATGGGAATCTGAGCATACTGACGTTACAGTAACACCTACTCAGGTAAGGTGTATAACTATACCGAATAAGCCTTCAGCTTATGACAAGTTTTCCTTTATAAATGTAAGTATTTAAATCACAAGTTTCCTGCTAGTGGTCAAAGGCAAGATACTAAAATCTCAGTGATACAATACATAGCATAAATCCTTAAATGGGCAGTAAAGAAAGTCACTCAGCTATGCCATCTGGATATTAACCATGTGACATTGCCAGGTAAAACTTCTTCCTTCACCTGCATCTGACCAGATGTTGCAACTGGAAGAATTCTTTCCACTGCTCTGCACCTCAGAGCAGAAGAGTGTGATGTACCGTGGGGATTGTGCCTTCCACATCTTATTGTGTAACATTTCCCCCAGCCCTTTTTTTCTGGGGGAAAAAAATCATATAAACCAGGAAATATTTAAGAAATAAAGCCTTTTTCTGAAAACTAATATAGTTTTAGCAGAGAAGTATGACATTTTGGTTAAGAATGTGAAAATTCTTGCATAATCTGTGTTTGAGGAATATTTAAGATGGCTTCTAAACATTTAGAAAAAAATTGGAAAAATTTTGTAGACAGCTCTCCTGAACAGAATTATGAGCTACATTCTGACTTTCTCCTTTTTTTTTTTTTCAGATGGTCCTGTGTCAGTTGGAATGAGTATGGATATTGCAAGCATTGATACAATATCAGAAATAAATATGGTATTGTCGTTTTTGCAGTCTTTTTTTTTGCTTGTTGATGCCTTGTGCTTACAGCTGCTGGCAATTCAACTTTGGGCTTGTCTCCTTGTGAAGTCAATATGGGTTAGGAGATGGAATTTTCTTTTTCACTACACATAGTGTTTATAACACTATAATAAGCATAGAAATGCAGCTGCGAATCCCACCTCTCTCAGATACAAACAGAAATCTGCTACTGAGTATTAATCTTAATGAGAAGCATATGGATCAGTACTTATTTTCCAGCTGAACTGTCTAAATCTTCATGCATTTCAGAAAAATAAAGATATATTCATGTGCCTTTGAAGCCATTCTCTTTCCCTATGATTAGACACAGCTGAACTCCGACTGTTTTTCTCTTCTATTGTTGCTGTCACACATTAATTTATTCCAGCTGTGTTTCATTTAATTTGTATCATTTGTTTTTGAACAAACTACGAAATGGAATGTACTTTTCTACTTAAAGATCCTTCATTGGTAGACAAATAAAAAGAGAAAATAATTAATCAGATATTAAATATGAATGTATTAGTAATTGGTAATTATTAGTTACTATTTAGAAAGGGGAAATAAGATCAGAACTTCAGATGATTTTATAATATTGATAAAAACACACAAAAAATCAACAGTTGTTTTAAAAGTGTAAAGAAATAGTGTGATCTTAATGTAGGACTGCAAGGCATATCTAAATTGAAGGGGAATTGGACTGAGTGCTATGTTCAAGGTCTTGATAAATTTGGTACCACTGTTTCCTTTGAGATGCTAAAAGGAGAAATTGTGCTAAAAGATTCCTTTTCTGTTTCACTAACTTCTTTTGTCTATCTGAATTTATTCAGCTTTTTCCAATGTGTTCTTAAAAAATTCTTCATTTATTAGCTTATGCGAACAAAATGAGATTTGGAACCACTTCCATAAATCATTCTAAAACTTAAAGGTTTACAGAGCCAGATTATCTGCTTACAAAGCTCCAATGACTTCAGCTGATTTATAGCCCCAGACTTAGGCCATCAGCTTTTACTGTAAATGACCATAAGAACAAAATCTACCAACCTCACATCGAGTGCCAGAAAATTTGGCAGAACAAGATTCAGTACAGCTGCTCTTGGAGCGCCAGGGACATGGAGAGTCACACTTTGTGCCCAGCAGCTGTTTCCATAGAGTTCTGTAAAAGAGAATACAACACAGGCTCCCTTTGTTTGATAATTCTGTTTTTTCTCTTTCAGGACTACACAGCTACCATATTTCTAAGGCAGCGATGGACTGATGAGAGACTTTGTTTCGATGGAAATAAGAGTTTGAGCTTAGATGGTCGACTTGTGGAAATGCTTTGGGTACCAGATACCTTTATAGTTGATTCCAAAAGGTCTTTTCTTCATGATGTCACTGTTGAGAATCGTCTTATAAGGATATACCCTAATGGAACAGTCTTGTATGCTATAAGGTATGTAAATACCACCTGTCAGCCTTCATGGCTGCATCTACTGGTCAGGTTCTGCTTAAGAAAATGGGTCTGTTTGTAAAAGTAGGCTCTTGTGGTTTTATGAATATGTAATATTCTTGATCAATATGAATAGATTCTTAAATTTAGTAATAGATCTTCTTCCCTAAATAGACCCTTCTGCTTTCATGCAGACTGAACACAGGAATTGCGTGTTGCCATTCCAGTTTGCAATGAAACCATCACAGGGGAGAACAAGCTGTGATGATTGGCTTACACAATTTGTGGTGAATTACTCTTTGTGAAAGGTTTTGATAATTAAAACAAAATCTTAAAATATATTGCAAATAACAAAGGAAAATGTGAATGAGAAGGGAACAAAGGATGGCTTCTTTAGACTGTCACTGAACTCTGTTTGGGATTGTATTACTTTTGTACATTAGATACCCGTAAAGAATAGATTTATTTTTTCCCCTCACAATAGATATTAGTCTGAAAATACTATTTCAAGAAGGATACATGGCATTTTTTACTTTTACTGATGAAAAATTTTGTCCCATTAATACTTAGAAAACTGTTTTTTTCCCCCAAGGATCACCACAACTGTTTCATGCAGCATGGATCTGACTAAATATCCAATGGATAAGCAGACATGTACTTTGCAACTGGAGAGCTGTAAGACACTTAATCCTTATTATTTTTATACAATAAGAAAAATATCTGTGATCTTTTTCTGTTAGATATTAGCAGAGTGGCTGGAATTTTCATAGAAGGCAAGGGACATTATGTGGCCAGTCCCAGCTGAATTAGAGCAGTATCTGTGTGCAAAGATGTGTGCACATACGTGCACATGACATCACTGGAGCTAGCCTGGCAGTACTGAAATGCTGCAGTGATAATTAATGATTGAGCAAAATCCCAGGAGATTCTCTGAAACAGGCTTGGTTTTGCAGTGCATCCTGCAGTTACTGTCTTGGTCTTCAGAGGGAGTTCTGGGAACAGGCATTTTCTAGCACAAATGAAATAGGTTTTTTTCCCTCTCAGAGTATGTAATTTTTTCACCCTGAGATATAATTCCTTTAGGAAAGAAATAATTCAGAATAAGGCTTATTTGTGAGGCATATAGTTAATATTTAATAATTTACTGGTTTTAGATCTTGCTCTGACATATTTAGTTGTCTGTGTGTCAGTGCCCTGGTAAAAAATGTCATCAATTGATGGACAAGAGTAAATATATTTTTTCCATTTTATCAATCAATATCCTCATGTTTTATTTGAAATAGGTTCTCTAATACTTTGTAGACAAGGTTACTTTGCAAACACAAAAACATGCACTTTTGTAGTTAAATGTTTGCTATTATTAATATGACAAGACTCTAGAAAATAATTTTTGCATGGGATAATGTAGAAGAATAAGCAGTTCTGTAAGATGAAAATATATATTTAAAATGTGTCAATATGTGCTCAAAATCTTTTTGGAAGGCTTTTCAGTACTTTTCAAGTTTTACTCTGTATTTTTCAGAAATGTGTGTGTGTGTGTGTGTTCGCTGTTCATCTCTTGTTGTTAATGACAAACTGGATTGCCACAAAGTGTCATTTTAGACAGAGACACAAAGGAAATTAACCCAAAATCTTCTTCACACAAGCGTCCCTCCAGAATAAGCAGTTTTATGAGATCTGTTTAACCAGCAGTGATTTGAATTGGAATTGGGATTTATCTTTATATTCCTTTGGAAGAGCATATTGGTAAATCAATGTATATGGATTTAAATCAACAGCAGTGCCTAATGAGTCATTTAGTATTTTCTCTAGTTGCAGAATGAAAGATATATCCCACAGGAATTTACAATTTATTTGACAGGATTAAAAAAAATAAAAAGGAGAATTCCCCATATAATTAAAACCAAGCATTTTTCAGATTGATTCCATCTGCTTTTTCAATAGCACACAAGTGTCTTCTGTCCAAGGGGAAAACCCAGCCATGTCACAACAAATGCTCCCATTACATCGATGTTTAGCTTTGAGGAGAACAGACAGAAACAATAAATACAAATAGGAAAGAGTGTGCCTTGGGCTGTGGCCTTTTTTTCATCAATGCACTGCAATCCTTTCTTTTGGGTAGGCTGGAAATGGGGTTTGTTTCCCCATGTGATAAGCTGTGTTAATTTATAGATGAATAATGTCACCATCCTCCTAACATACTGCTTGCCAAGACCATTACCTGGGCTTAAGAATTGTGGATGCAGACGTACACCTGCACAAATATTGATGCTTATAAATAAAATGTAAAATCTGTAGCAAATATTTGAGCTGAAACAAAGAGTTAGGCTTTTATTAAGTGATTGTTAATATAAGGACAAATATGTCATGATATTATGTAGTAATGTCTTTATTCAAAAAAGCAAAAAGTGACCTTTCCAACAGAATTTTCTGCTATTGCTAGTTAGTAGCTTTAATTGTCTTGTACTTCCTACACAGCAAAACACATTCTGGCCAGCATGCCTATTGGGTTTTTGCCCCCTTATTGCAACACTTTAGAAGGTGATGCTGGCATATGTTAGGAAACAGAGACTTGTTACTCTGGGTCTTTGCTGTTATGGGTGCTGTGACATTTGGGAAAGTGAAGGGTTTCTGTCCTGGCTGGTTTCCTGCTCTCTGCCATGTGGCAGGGAACACCACCACTCATCCTTGCTGGGCTGAAGGGTTTGTACTCACATTTCTCTCACACACAGACCCCCAGTCCAAATACATATTCATGTCTTGGGCCCATCTCTGAAATTTTCTTTTTGAACTTGTCCTTTACCATTCAGTGAAGAGCCATGTGAAGGCACTTAACTTGTGCTTGACAATCAGTGAAAATTAAAATTAGCAACAGAAAGGTAAAGAAACTAATTTGTATTAGGCATTATGAATGTTTAATCCCAAATTTACTATTCCTGTAGTTAACCCTGTTGACATTAGCAGCTCATACTCTATCAACAATGTACAGGAATGAGACATCCTGTGCTTGAGGAATTAGCTAGGATAAAAACTCAGTGTCACATAAAGAGAGTAGAGATTACTTGTAAAAGCCAAATAACATGGGCTTAAGGATTTTGTCTCTATAAACTTTTGAAATGTTTTATAATTAGTAAAATATTAATCCCTTGAACAAAGAACAACTTTGCACAGAGGGAGCACTACTATTTAACTTTACTGACTATTGGGAAGGCTCTCTCAGTAAAAATTCTTCTTAAGAGATTTGGAATTATTATACTCAAAGAATTTTGATAGAAAGGATCACTCAAACCTACTAATTGTTGCACTAATGAGAATATTTTGGAACAAAAGCAAAATAACCTCTGTTTCAAGATATGCTCACTATCATTCACGTGGGCACCAAGAACTTCTGACTCACACAACTTGTAAGGCTGAATATGTTATAAAAACAAAAAGGAATTTACTGTGGTGCTCTCTAGTACTTTGGACTTTATTTAAATGTCTGCATTTCATTTATACTGAAAGGAAGTAAAACGAATCCATGGCCTGAATCATGCATAAGAACTGGTTCTATGAGCTGCCTTGTTTTGACTAAGAACAATGCTATCGTTTGTTTATAGAAAATGTTACTTCTATTTTACATCCCACAATCTGGGAAATTTCCCAGCATGTGGTTTTAGGGAATTGAAAACTTAGCTTGGATACATATGCTTTTGGCTTAGTCTTTTGACACAAAAGTGTTTTAGCTTTAATTGCTATAAATGTGATAATGTGAGCAGAGATTCCAGGCCATGATACCTTTTCATATAACTACCAGTGATAGTGAAAACAAAATTTACATTTAAAGAATGAGTAGAGGAAGAATTTTCAGGTGAAATTGTCATTTAATAGGTAACCAGCACAGTGTTTCCTTACAATAAAATATTAACTCCTATTTTTCCTACATGAGCTAGCTGGAGAAATCAGTTCTGTTTTGTCACTGCAAGGAAAAACCCCAATAACTTAAAAAGATTAAAAGGCAAATTTTTTTTTTTGTTTCATTTTAATACACCTCTTTTTTTTCATGTGATTCTAGAGCTTTGTTCTTTTTGCAGCATATACCCTTGTACAATGTATCGCATTATTGTCTCACTGTAATTTACTTACAGTTGACTGAGGTCTAAAAATAATCATCAGCTCATGTTTCTGTTCCCTAAGCTGAGCTATTAACTCGCACAATATAAATCTGTCAAATACAAGAATGATTGATCTAAGCAAGCTAAAGAAAAAAGATGTTGAAATGCTGCCTGTTAACATGTAAATTACATTAACATAATCTTGAATTAATCATATACGCTAGTCTGTAAAGTGGCTGCCTTTTATATAATGGGGAGAAGCTACAGAGGTATTTTAGCTATGATTGTGCTGCACATTGACAAGTGTGTGCAAAACACAGTTGCCTTCTGATAGATGATTCATCCAGCTCCTAATTACTACTTGAAGGTTAAGAGGGAACCTCCTGGAGCCCCTGAAGCATGCCATGCTGTTGAGCCTGCAGAAACATCAGCTTCTGGTGTCCTTGGCAAGTATCCGAGCTCCTCAGCCTAAAGCCTGTCCCAAGTGATGATTGAAGCTCAGGTTGGAGCACAGCAGCAGTGAGAGCAGTTCTGCTGCTCTCCTCATCCCTTCATCTCTGTGGGGATGGGGAGAACTCACTGCACTGAGAAACACCATCTTGGGATGCAACACATGGCACATCTCATGTGTAGTCAAAATGCTGACAAGTGCAGTAGTTCATGAAAGCTCTACTTTCTTAGAGCCTAGTAGCTTTTGCCTTTAGAATACCAGTGATACTAGGCTATTTTATTAGTTTGTCACTTATACTGAAATAGAAGATAAAAAAAGACCACTTCCAAAAAGTCAGTTTTTAACTTACAAGACTTTGCATGTTATTGGAAATTTTGCCATGAACAGGCATTACAATCTGCCAAACCCCATCATTGTTTGTCCAATTGTACTTTCAGGCACAGAAATAAGAAACAGCTGAACCGTAAGTGTGCTCAACACAAATTAATTATTGTGTAAAATAAACACTATTGTTGGCTTGTGTCTTGCTACAGGGGGTTATAACATCAATGATGTCATATTTTATTGGACCAGAGGAAATGATTCGGTTCGAGGTCTGGACACACTCCAGCTGGCACAGTACACAGTAGAAGACCACTTTACCTCTGTAACTGAAGCTGTGTATGAGACAGGTAAAAACACCCTTATAACATTTTCTAGGCACAGTTTGAACTGTGGCTTTGGAAACAACAGCATTAAGGAACTGAGCACATTGCTTTCTGTTAGGATTACCGTTTTCATGTTCTAATAATTACATTCTTGAAGCCATAAATAATTTTCAAGTAACAAGAGATGGAGCTAATGGAAAGATGCAGATTTTTCTTGGAGATTGCACATTATCTAAAGAATTATAAAGAGGAATCTACTGTTCCTTCCATATAATGTTAGGGAGAGCTCTCAAGGAAGAGGAGCATGTAATTGAGCATTTAAATTGGAGACAGACCAGGGACCTCAGGGTACCCAGCTCACATCAGCCATTCTGGATTTATAAGGCAAGTCAAAAGCCTCTATTCACACGTGGAAATTCCAAGAATATGCTGGGTGCTTTCACAGCTGCAGGAATTTGAGTTTCATGGCTACTGCTTGTAGGAATTGCTCTGTTTCTGTGGCAGCCTCTGCCTGGCCTGGTGGGCAGCAGGGAGCAGAGTGCTCCACCTGAGGTTCCTCTGCCCAGGGAAGGGTTGGGAGCGTTTCCACAGACCTGCTCGTCTGTGAGCCTAGGAAACTGCTGTAGAGAGTTTCCTCTAACTGCAGCACTTAACCTCAGGGAACAGTGTGCTCTTGTTTATTTTCCAGAGATTTTGAAAGGGATTTCAGAGAGTTCAAGACCTGCCAAACCTTTTTGTTCTTTGGATTACTCTCAGGTCCCTCATTGCTGCTCTTCACTGTGTGTGCAGTTTCTCTTCTGCTCAAGTCAGCACACCCTCGCAAGGGTGTGACTTTAAATCAAGACACACACATCCTTCAAAACTGCAGTTTCACCAGAGGATGTGGTTTTAATTCTGAATCACAGAAATATAGTTTCTCTACTCCATTATTGGGTATTTCTGCTTTAATAACACAACAGAGGAACTTGTGATCTAATTTCAGGTATTAATTTGGGCTAAAAAGTCAAAGTTCTCTAAATGGATGTAAAAGCAGAAATTAAATACATACCAGTAGGCTCTAGGATCACAGAGTTTCTTGCTACTTATGTAAGAGACATCTGTTTGCCTTCCTCCTCTTTACTGCTTCTGGGTAAGCAGCATCAGAATATTATTCAATCAAAGAAGAATTATCCTTTACTGCTGTTCTGCCCAGAAGGGTATTAGGACCTGTTCCCCATACAGGAAAGTGGAAGAGGAAACCTGCTTAATTCCTTTCACCTTCTATCACAGAATGAGGAGTTTAAAGACAAAAAAGTTTGGTTGTTTTGTTTGGTTGGTTTTTGGGTTTATTTGTTGTTTAACTAAGTAGACTAAAGCCAATCTCCAACTGGAGTTGAAGAGGCATGATCAGATGAACTGCACTCTTCTTCCAGTAAATGATGCTGTCTTCCTCCCTTTGTGTTGGCAGGAATCATATGTACTTAGTCAAAAGCCATTTCTTGTTTTAATTATACATTTTAAGACACACAAATTAGTTTGATTCAAATTTCTCACACCTGCTTGTTCTCCTGTTCAAGAAAGCCATGTTATCAAGTGCTATACAGTATTTTAAAATTTAATCTCCTAATCCTCTTAATTTTCTATCGAGTCATTCTGAACTAGGTGCTATTTTCCACATATTTTTTTTTGGAAAGCAGTGCCTACTGTAGACCATATTAAAAGAAAAAAACAACCAGATTATGGAGCTGTGTAATCAATTTTGAAATGAAAAATAATGCTTTGCATTTCTTCAGCGCCATTAATAGATATGAGAGTAGCTTATAAATAACAATTATGTTATAAATAACAGCTATTTATAACCACTACAATTCAAAGGGCTAAATCTGAAGTTATGAGAGAAGAGATGTGTGCTGTATTTCCTAACACAGCAAAAAAAGCAATCAGGGTTTGATACTCTGTGAACTTGAACAGAGAGTACAGCTGCTGTGCAAGTGAAATATTGTACAGCAGTGCAAAACCCAAGCTCACGTACAGCCACTGACAGAGCCAAATTTAAAATGCAGTCAGCAAAATTCCTGCATAAATAACTTCAGTAAATTTAAGAAAAGGACTCTGTAGATTAATCTTGTTTGTAGAACAGCATGCATTACATAATAGTAATCACATAATAGTAAGTCACTTTGAATAATGTTAGCTAGATTTCTGGCTAGGGTTTGGTGTTGCTCTTGTTTTGGTACAGAACAATTTCATTTTGGACACGGGAAATTTAATTGTTAGAACCATTTCCTCCATGTCTTTAACTATAGTCCTCATTCTTCATACACTGATAAACTCTTGGACTCCCAAACCATATTATCTGCATCAGTGGGTGCTGTGGGTGTCCAGCCAACACCACCTGCATTCTCAGAGTAATAAATACTAATGTAAAAAGCTTGTTTTTCTTACTGGAAAAACATAAAAGCAATGAAAGACGGTTACAGTGTAGCTTTTTGTATAAATAATCATGGAAATAAGGCTGAAATGCATTTTAAAAATTCATTTAATCTATTCTCATGTCACAAGGTCATCTATATCTGCAGCCTACTTCCTGACAGATGTTTCCAGAGTAAGTCAGACAAACTCTGAAGTGTCTGTGTTCACAGCCTCCCTAGATGACTTCTTTCCTGGTGTTTATTACACGCATATTTTCCTTGTGTCTAATCTTCATCTCCCTTGCTGCATTTCAAACCTATTATGTGGATATTGAAGACAAATATCCTGCTATTTTTCAGCAGCCTTTTCACTGTTTCAAGACTGATATCTATTTTCTTAGACCAACAATTTTCCTCTTTTTAAATTCATATAAGCATTTTTAGATATACTGTCTTTTCTATTGTTCTCCCATTGAATTCTCATCTCTTTGCTGATATGCAGCACCCAAAAATGGGTTCCCATTAGATATCCTCTGAGGATGGAAGGGCTTACTTAATATGTTCCATGAAATCTATTCCTCTTTATCCGTTCTAGGCTGATATTTGCCTTTCTTGCTGAAAATTATCATGCATTTTTGACCTTGTTCAGCTGGTGATTCCCCCTAGTTCTCTGACTCCTTTTTTGCCCTATAGCCACATATTCCCTGAGCTCTGGGAGCTGGTGATTCCCATCTGAGTGCAGGACTTCATACTTGTTGAATTCCATTGTTTTACTTGGGTTTTAATACTTGGTGAGATATTATTGAACTCTAATCCTGTTGTCCAATGTGCTAACTCCACTCCTAACACACTCATGGTATGTCATCATGTTAGGGAACAGTTTTGGGCACAGGACAGACCCTGTGTGCTCCCACTTGATAAATGCTTCTATTTTCACAGCAAGCAATAGGTAATTAATCTCAATTTCCATTTTTAGTTGGAGAAAAAACCAAAATCATAACAAAAACATAATTTAAAACTTCACGCTAATTGGCTGTTGATAGCTTTTTTCCCAGCATCTTTCCTTAAGTCTTGCACTCACAGCTTAGCCCTCCTGTCAAGTCCTTGGCAGCAGCAGGAATGAAGAGGCTCAGCTTGCCCAGGTCTGGTCCAACACTGAGTGTTCAGCCCAGAAGGCAGGGGGAGATGGCAGGCAGGGCTCTCAGTGCACGTCCCCACTTCCGAAATGTCAAGTCAACAAATTGGCATATTCAAATGGTATTATTTTGGCAGAACAGAAGGAAAGAAGAGACAGAAGCATAAATTAAATCTCTGCTCCTTGATGCACAAAGACAAGATATTTGCTCTGTTAAAAAGACTGCAAAGGGAGCTGGCTGCTGCTCTTGTGTGCAGTCGCTGCCAGGGTTTTGATGTCTATCTCAAATCCTGCTTTAGCCTCCTTGGGCTAGAGGCCCATCAGCCCTTGTGTGGCTGTGCAGTGCTGAAGCTCTGTGGGCCCCTGGCCACTGCCTGTTATCAGCTCCTCAGGGGGGATGTCACAGCTAAGCCAGTGAGGACCTGCTCTCATTTATAATTGGTGATCTGAAATAAAAATGTGTGCAAACGACATATAGACATATAAAGATTGTGTAAGAATGTATGTTCATCAGTCAAGGTCCCTTTCTAAACAGAAGCACTGCCTTGCTTTGCCCTACAGGCTCATCTGCAATTTCCAAAGGTTCAGGAGATCATTTAGTTAGTAATCAGGTTTTTCTAGGTTTTTCAGTACTTTTCCTTTTGAGGTATGTTGCACTGAATAACTTCTGTTCCCTTTATCAGTTATTTATTGCCTGTAATTGCTCTCCAATTGTTACTTCTGAGAACATATTCTTTGCCATAGAGGTCTCACAAAGAATCCCAGAGCTGTATTCAGTAATAATCTGATTTGGTGAGTCTTCAGTCCACCTCACCTAAGATTCAAGCAATTACCTATGTGTATCTATCTGTTATCATATACAATTTACTCTTCTGTGCTCACAGCATCCCTCTTTGTAAACAAGCTTTTCCACTTGAGTTGAGTTGATGTTTTCCATCATGAGCTGTTGCTGAGATACTTCTGCAATGTAGAACAGTTTATAAAGAAAACAATTTTGGATAAATATATATGCACACATGCACTACATAAAAGGGTTTGTTTCATTCTTAGAAAATCTGAATTTTAAACTTATTTTTTGTAAAGCATTTTTATGAAGATGAAACACATGTTGAGAAGCCCGGCCTGAACTTTCATTTCCTTTGGTTCACCTCTGAAAAGCAAATATGAAAAGAGGTAGTTTGTAAGATCTAGACTATGAAGGACAGAAGACTGTTTTGTCTCTGAGGAAGGGGCAAATAAGCTGTAATAACATACTAGCAATTTATATTGGCACCATTAGCATCCTGCAGCAGTCAGAGAATTGCATTTCAGTTGAACAACTTATTTATTGTGTAAAAGTGGGGACATTCTGATTACTCACTGCCCGTGTTCATTGTAAACAAGCAATAACAAAATTTCATACTGAAAACTACATTTTCAGTGTATAGTTAAGCCAGTAAAATCTATTTTAAGCATTTCTGTCCTCTGTCCTTGAAAGATGCAGATGAGAAGGAAATGATGCATTGGTAGAACTACACTGATGTGCTTGTGTGAGTTGTACATCACACATTTTAACAGACACCCAAGGGGTTAGCATAAATAATTCATGAGAGAGAAAAAGATGCTCTTTGTCCCTGACTGCACACCTCTGTGCAGGACACCAAAGTGCTTCTTACATAAAGGGTGATGTGCAGCAGTCTTTTCCTGGAGTGGAGTTCAGCAGAAGGTCCACAGGAAGTGGCTGTGGGGAAAACAGTCCTGTCCCCAAACAGAGCGGAAATGAGGAACTGCTGGCAGTACTCACAGAGAATCACCCCTTCCTTAGTTACCTCTGCTGGGACCATTCACTGGTCAGAGATGTTGCAGGAAAGACCAAAGATGCAGCATTCTGCCATCAGCTGGGAACAGGTGCCACAGAAAAATGGGATAATCAGGAAATGAATGACCTAGGGTGAAAAAGAATCTTGTTTAGGTTTATGTATTTCTCAAGCAGTGCAGCAACAGTCATTGTTGTTAGACTCATCAGTGGCAAGTCTATACAAAGTGTCTGATAATCAGAACTATAAATTAGAATATAATTTTAAAAGCCAAAAGCCAAACTTCAATGGCAAGTTATAAAATGACATAAACTAGTTTTTATTGCCTTCAGAAAGATCTGTCCCAGACCTAGACCCAGGCCTGCTCAGCTACTGAGAAAGAGCCCATGCAAGTATAATTTTTATAAAACTTTAACAACAGTAGTCAGCTGGACCTTTTTGTACATTTTAGGGTACTTAGCAGTAGAGAGGGTTAGAGTGGGTATGGAGACTGTCATCTGCTATTTGGGTTTGTTCTTCATCTACAAGTTAGAGCTACTTCTGTACTTCTGTTCTCTTGTAAATTGTATAAAACCCAAATTACTCAGCTTAATGTTCTTTTGCTGTGGGGTCACCTAAGTAGCACAACTCACCTAGGGGTGTGTTTAGAGTGTATATATTAACAGTAATTTAAGTTTTCAGGTTTATCTGATAAAGTGTTACACAGAGTAATTCAATACTTTGGTAAGTGCTAATGCTGTGCCTTTGCTGCGGTTAGATATCTGCACAGAAATTATTTCTGTCATGTTAACAAATTTAAATCAGAGCAGTCTCACACTGAGGTGACATTCATCATGGACCAGAAACTCAAAAGAAAAAAACATATTTTCATTTTAATGCAAATATTTTGTTGTCATATAAGTGGCAAACTTGTGACAGTTTTGAGGAGTTAATTTGAGCTGTACTTGAGTTAACTCTGGTAAAGTCAAGACTAGGATTTCATGAACATGTTTCAATTTTGATCTGGCTGATGGCACCATGGTCTCAGATGTGCCAGTCAAAGGCAATGAGATACAGCATTACTCTCTCATATGCAGCTCACACAACAGCAGCAGCAAATCTGTTCTTTTTAAAGATGATAATTTTTGGTACATGTGTCGCATAGATGAAAAAGGGACTGCAATATTTCCCTATCTTAATTTTATCCCATTGTTCATTTCTTTAGCATGATAAGTATGCACTGAATACTTTTTCTCGACTACTGCTTCCTTCAGTTTATTACAGGAGGAGCTCTGATGAATTCTATATATAGGTTGCTTCAAAATTTCCATTATAAAAGCTCTTCTGAACTCTTTAGAGAAATGCTGACACTATTATTATCATGTCCATGATATGTCTTGGATTCCAGAAAGAAGAAAGCCTTAAGGTTAAAGAAATACCTCTTTTTTGCTACCCAAAGAGCCACTCAGCTATAAGCTGTTACATCTCTATATTTCTTTGTTCACATTACTTCAGAAATTTCTGGCATCAGAAAAAATAGTAACACCAGAATATTCAAAGGACTCATCTAAACTTGAAAATTGCAGACTGTGGCTTTTAAATTTGATATTTTGAACTAACTTCCCATGTACACACATGACTTTTATGCTGAGGTAAATAAAGTTGTAGGGCACTAATGAGGAAAGGGTGTTATTGAATGGCTGTATTGAAAGATACCTCTGTGTTCCAGAGGTTTCCTTCTTAACAACGAGTTCTTCTGAGGCTGGACCACAGGAAATCCCAGGTGCCTGTGACACACTGCAGGAAGGATGGTCTGATCTCTCCACTCCCCTTTGCTGGGCACGTGGCAACACATCCTTCCCTGTGGTCAGCACAGAAGCACAACACAAACAGCTTTTGTGGAGTATCCCGTTTCCATTCCCTAAATGTGCTTTGTGCTTTTGTTGTCCAGGCTCAGTGCTTTTCCATAGCACTGCTCTCATTTCAGAGCACGGATGAGTGCAGATAGAGAAAGTAAGGTTTCACAGTCATCTGTCAGGTTTTCACTCCCTGCCTTTTGAGTACTTTACTTTGGCCTGCATACACTTAAAATCAGTTTTGGTGAGAAAAATGACATTTATTGAAACAAATGTATTGATAAAAGTCAATACATTTGATAACAATACATTGATAAAAGTCAATACAGTAGAGGTACACTGGTGTAATATCCCTCTTTCCATGTAAAAATGATAATGGTATAAAACATATTTGTATCTCTTGCCTCATCAAGATAGTTTAATATTTGTACCCTTTCTTCCAGCTGGACACTTGAAGATCTCAATATACTGAATTTACAAAGAAGAACACTAAATACAGTGTATTTTTACCCCTGTGAGGAGCAAGAACTGACTACCAGAGGACTATTTAGTTCAGTAGAGAAGAGATGGTCAATGTGGCAGAAAACTGAAAACAAGTTAATGTTAGAAAGTAGGAACTCATTCTTAGCAAACAGAATTATTTACTGAGAGGAATGGTGGATGCTGTGTGTCTAGATATCCTCAGGCTAAGTCTTCATGTCTGTGTAGAAGGTGGGCTCTAGTCCAACCAAAAATATTTAGTTCAAGCAAGGGATCATTAAGGAAACTTAGTGGCTTGTGATTAGGGTCAGACTACAAAATCTTGCAATTCTTTCTGTTTTAAAAATCCTGTTATTGTTCTCTTGATGCAATATATACAATGCTTTTAAAAATGGAAATGTCGCCATCCATTTTCTCATCTGGGAGCAATAAAACATTTCTTGGCATCCACTGCTTTCACTTCAAGCTTTTAAAAGTGCTCTTCTTTGTGTCTCACAGCACACCTGAGGGACACACAAATAGTCTGTCTGTGCCTATATTGTTGCTAAAGTGAATTAATTGTTCTGTAGTTCTGTCCTGACTCACAGCAGGCAGCAGTAGAAGCAAACACTGGTGCCAGAAAATAGGTTTTGTGTTAAAATAGTGGAAGCCAAAACTGTCTGACTACAGAACATTAGTCTTTCACTGATATTTCACTGACATGCAAATGGTGTTAAAATGATTTTGCAAAAACTTAGCACTACTTAATTTATAACCTGGAACTTCAGAACAAGAAGCCTTTTCTGCCCATTTAAAAAGCAAGATTTTGTTTTCCTGTAAAGCACTGAACTGGTAACAATTTCAGACCGTGAGCTTCAACACAGCCAAATTTTGTTCAGTTAGTGAGCTGGATAAGAAATTCAGGCTTTGATTGTGGGTGTGCTGTGCCCTCATGGAACACAGTTCTGTATTTGACTCTGTGATCCCCAAAGTTCATCTCCTGGACATCACTCACTTAGAAGCAAATAATTTGTGCCACAGCAGTGGCACTACTCAGAGGTACACAAACACTCTAATGCACTAATAAAAAGGAAAAATAGATTGTGAGATGCAAAGACACTGCTTGGGTTTAAGTGGATTATGAGAGGTAGGTCAGCACTTCCAGAACAGGTACCCTCAATCCACATCTTGAGCAATAGTAAATGAAAAGAAAAATAAACTGAATAGGTGAGATAGTTAAAAGTAAGAATCTGTGCCACCTTCATGAAATGACAATCCTTACTACTCTAGTTCATATAGTAGCTCATTCATTGTTAAGAATAGCAACAGCTAAATCCATATGAGATTTCAAATATCCTTGCCTTGTGTTATATAATGAAACATTCTCTTCACGCATTGATGGATTTATTTTTTCCTTCACTAATCCTTATTTAATTTCCAATTCAAGGTGTCTTTAATAAAATTCTGGATATGGTGACTGAATGTTACATATTTGATTGTTTCCTTCAGTTCAGCATCTTCAATCTGAATTTTTCAGTGCCGTGTTTAATTTTTACAAGCTTGTTTGTTGAGCTTTTACTGCATTGCAATACACCAGACTAATACAGGTTGCTGTTTCAAAGATCTTTTCATGAATTGCACCTTCACAATGTTTTTTTCCCTGTTCCTTCCACAGGACGTTACCCAAAACTTGTGTTTCACTTTGAACTCAAGAGAAACATCTTGTATTTCATATTAGAGACATATGTACCATCAATCCTTCTGGTGGTGCTCTCCTGGGTGTCATTTTGGATCAGCCAGTCGTCGGTTCCAGCCAGAATCTGCATAGGTGAGAAGCTGATAAACCAACCCAGACCAAGGGTTGGGTCATCCAGACACCTTCTCTATTGCACGTGCTGGGCATCCATTTCCTGAAGCTGAAAATGCTTCTGAGTTTTATGGAATTACTTTTTGGGTTTGCCATACTCAGTACATCATGTGGATTGCCCTTAAAGCCTTGCTATTCTTTAACTAAGAAAAATGCCTTTGGCAGCTACAGGAAGGAGACTTACAGGCAGGGGAGGCTGCTGAAAGCACAGCAAAAAACTGTCATTTTGGAAATAGTTTAAACATATTCAAATACATGGCATGCACAGACAATTGTGAGGCTTTTGTGAGGTCTAATGATACACACTAATTAACACATGAATAACAAGAGAATTATAAGAGATTAAATATAATTAATTTCAAATAAAGGATATTCTGAAAGGGAAAAAATTCAAATCAGGTTTGATCAGGCTGCAGGTGGGATGGAAAAAACACTCCTACAGAACAGGGAATAAAGAAGGATTTCACATTGAATGAGGCCAGTGGGCAACCACTGAGCAAAATGATATCTGAATATTTTAAATGGACCTTCTGCATAGATTTGCAATAATAATGCGTTAATCATAAATATACATTCCATGACACCAAAACCTTTCTCATTTTCATTTCTAGTCTCTCAGCCTTGTTAGCATTTTCTGTTTCTGTTTTTCAGCACTTAAGAGCTGTAAGTTAAATTTAAACTCTTCTTCCTAAAACATGACCTATTAAATGCTATGGTGTCCTAGGAGTTTCAGGTCCAGGGAGAACTCTCCTGCAGTAGGGCCCTTGCAGTCGAAGCCCTCAGTGCCATCTGTGTTAGACTAGAACATATATTTTTCCACTCCACAGGTGTCACCACAGTCCTTACCATGACAACACTGATGATGGGAGCCAGGACTTCACTCCCAAATGCTAATTGCTTTATTAAGGCAATTGATGTCTACCTTGGTATCTGCTTCAGCTTCATCTTCGGAGCACTGTTAGAGTATGCTGTGACTCATTTCTGCACTCTGCACCAACTCAGCTCAAAGGAGCTTCCAAAGGTATTTTAATTATTTGGTTGTAGTCCTACAAAATGGATTTAAAATAACCTTCTTTTTAGCATGTGTTGCCCTGAAAAAGAATGAATTCTCTTAGCACTAATGGTAAATGTATTTAAGGTAGTTTCTTTTTTAGAATTAGGACAGGGAAACATAATAATCTTGAGAAAAAGAAAAAAAATATTTGTATACCTGGAGCTTTTTTGGAAGAGACCAAACAAACTGAAGCACTCTTCTCTCTTTTGGAATGAGCTTTTTGACCATTTATCAATGTTCTGGGTGTCTTACAAAAATCACAGGCACTGCTTGTCTCCCAGGCAATAGCATTTAGTCACTAATTGTTCAAAAATTAGGTTGAGCTTGGTGACTTGATCCTACTGCAATATGGAAAAAAGGATTTTATCACATTCCATTTATGAAACCTGCACAAGCATAAAACATGAGTCAGTCTTCTGGCAGATGTCTTCATGTGCTGGATGTATCAAGTCCCCGGAGCCTTCTGTTCCCACCTTCTCCTTCAACAGCTGCACCTGAAATCAGACTGGGATCCATTTTCCCTTCTGCATCATTATTGTAACAGTGCTTTTTGTGGCATTAAAGAGTTTCTCATAACCCTGAAATATTGTGAAATATACTTAAAATAAAAATGGATGAAATCAGCATAGGTATTTTTGAGACTGGTGGTTGCTGAAATAAAGAGGACAGGTTCATGAAGAAGTTTTGTCACATCTTCCATCTCCAGTGTATAGCAGTGCTTTCATAAGCAAAGGAAAAGAAATCACAAGGAAGCTGAAAGATGATTTTCTTGCAGCTTTTAATTATGGGACTGAACCTAATATGCATGATAAAAAAGAAATTTTTAAGCAGCTTATGAAATTTCTGGATTAATAGCAAAAAGTAAAACATGGAAAATGGGAATAACAGGAAGAAAAATAAAAGGCAGAAAGAAGTTTGGTTGAGTGCTGTAGGGATAAATGTCCAGAAGAAGATTGTTAACTGTTTAAGCCAAATTAGAACAGAGCATCACAAATGTCTAAGCAAAGCTCCCCAACATACTCAAGAAACAGGATATTGAGCTCAAGTGGAGAAGCTTCAAAACCTTTTGAAGATCAGGCAGTATGTGTGTGTGTGTGTGTGGTTATGTCTAGATAGTTCATCAATTTATATGAGATTTTGGTTGTTTGGATGAAAGGTAGGTCCTGTAAATGCACAAGAATATGTTAAAAGCTGTTGTTGGGTTAGGGAGAACCAACCCTGTTGTGTGGGGAGGAAGACTGCAAAGTGGCCAGAAGCAGAGCCTCCGCAGTGGACAGTGTGAGATAGCATCTATTGGGGATTGTCTGCAAATGGGAAAACACTCATTTCCAATGAGGATTTGAGTGGAAAGCCTGCAAGTAATTTTTGCTGGTAAGGTTACATCAGTGACAATTCCCTGTGAGCATATCCATCTTATGAAGTAAGTGGTTGTCATTTTGCTCATAGTGTAAGGGGAAAAAAACGCTGCTTGGAGGTTCGGGCAAGAAAGTGAAGTGTTTCAGTGCTCGGATGATTAAGCATCTTTGGAGCTGTGAAGGGCACTTATACTGCCCTTGCCTTCACCTGCCTCTTTCAGATTCCCTTTCATCTGGAGCAGGTACTCATGCTTGCAGGTAGGGTGGACATGGGAAATTGTAGTCTTCAAAAATGTGCATGGAAATACATGGAGATACAGCTGTAAAATGAGAAAGGAAAGTTCTGTGATGAACTTAATGATCAAGAGGAATAGATAGTCTTTCATTTCAGGCATGTTTCCTGCCTTCTGCTGGGCATCAGGAAGTGAGCAAGAAAGCCAAACATAATTCTTGCCTGCACAAAGATAAGGATATAAGAGAAGAAAGAGTTGTTTGGTCCTAGATCAACTTGCAACTCTGTAGAATAAGGAAAATGTGTGTCATGTCCTTTTCCTACTGTAGCCAAGGGCAAGAACTGCTTACTGAACAGGGTGTCATGGAGAGCACACCTGACCTGTATTTCTCATTCCTTGTTGTAAAAACAAAAACATCACAAGGGCAAAAACACCACCTAAAATTTCATGTCACTGTCTAGCAGCTACTTAGCAATTTATGTGTGAGTATCGTCACTGTAAATGTGTTGTCCTCATTAGCGTATTCTCTTGTGGACACAGGTTAATTGGAAATCTCACATCCCAGTTTGTTATTCCCATATGTGAGCTGATAGAAAATTTGCACTCAGAATTATGTAAATAAATGTAGGAGGTGAAATGGAAATGTCACCCTCTCTCTTGTATAGGAATTAGTTGTACTCACTTCCCGCTTTGCTCTTTGGAGAAGTTGGGCACCCACATATCAAACCCTTCTGAAGCCCCTGAGATCTCCAATTTAGAACATAAACTGGTGAAAGAGCTCGTCATATCCATGCTCTTGCAATGTTTCACATCATGTGGACCCACAGAGACACCTTCAAAGCTAATGGCAAAAGCAGAGGAGCCCCCTGCTGCAAGGCAGGTCAGGCAGAATGTGCCATTCACATCAGCTCCAGAACAACAGGATGCTTAAAGGGAGAGGTTGCCTCTCATGAGTTTCTTTTTTGCACAAAGGCATTAACTGTACCCTCTTATGAAGCACAGAAATATTCCTCGTGTTTCCTCTGTCTTTTACCTAAACCTCCACCTTTAAGGCAGAATGGAGAACAGTTTGAAAACTGAAAATAATTTTGTAAGTGTGATGTTCAGCCTCTGTGGTATTTCTGTGCAAGCCTCATGCAGTTTTTATGAGCACCACATAAGCTCCAGGTGTGCAGCACTCTGGGTTGAAATATTTTTAAACTTGAGCAGCTTTATTTTCCAGTGAAAGTGACAATTTTCCTCAACTCTGTTGGCTCTTGGATGTCAACAAACACTTAGTAAACAGCAGCCACAGTATCAGGTGTCATGGACAGTGCTTTTTGGGTGATGCACAGCATCTTTCCTGGATGGTACTGGTTTGGTACCTAAACAGAGCCCTTAGTGTCAGCTGCCATTTCCTCATTGGCAGCTTGCAATCCAGAAAAAAGCTTAGTATGACATTTAAAATTAGAGCCACAGCTGAACACTCACAGCACAATTTCTTTTTCTGATATAATGTAAACCAGCTCAGTCTTTCATCATGCTCAGTTATCTATAACAATCTGGAAAAGTCCCTTTATAAACTCACTCTATAAGACTGCAGTTTTTAATAAATGAGGAGGTGTGGTTCTCTTCTAGATGAGCTCTCTCCTTTCCAAGCTATGTGGTACAGCACTTTTGCTGTAAACTCCCCTCTGTTTTGCAAGAGCCCTGCCTTGTTGCAGTGCAAAGAGAATCCTGTACATATGCACTGCTTACGGTATTTTCTGCTTAAGTGAGAACTGGCCCTTGGGGAGCTGAAAGGAGTCAAGAGCAGCCTAATAACACATCAGCCTCCTGGGAATCACTCACATGCAGTTGTGAGAAAGGAAAAGTGGCACGTACACAATGCCCTTTCATGCTCTGAAATAAAACTAATTCTAAACAACTTGTAGCCAGCCCTACCTGAGAGAAAAATAGACTCTTAAACAGAGCAATGGCCCATATCCTGATGGTTTTGAAGTACAGATGTTGTAATGAAAAACGAAAGCAGGGAGAAAAAGTCAGGACTCTTGTGTCAGGTTCCTTTATTTTATTAACTTTTAAAGTGCTGAGTGCATTCATTAAGCTGTGGCTCCAGTGCCTCATTTCCAGTGCCAGGCACTGCTGACAAAGGCTTCTCTGCCATCCCCAACACTCTCCTCAGCTGCCTGAGCTTTTTGAAGCAGAAGAGAGAGATATTTATAACAGTCTGGCCTCAAGTAAAAACTCGAGGTTTGAATTTTAGTACTACCCTGGGGATTATTTAAGGTTCAGACTGGAGTTTTATGGATTGATCCTCTTAATGCTTTATAGGCAGATTTTTATCCCAGCCTTTCACAGAGCTGTGGGAGGCCAGGTGGAGGATGACCAAGGTTTTTTTGGTCAGTGTATTTTTAGGATGATAAGTGTTGTTGAACTACGTTTATCTCTCAAATAAAATATCCCAGGTTTTTTGTTGTTTGTTATTTTTTTAATTGAAGGTGGAAAGCAGTAAAAATCCCTTTTCTACCACCATTTGTTCTGCTTCACTGATTCACAGCAGTTTGAGGACGTTGTCCAGACTCCACTTTAATTTTCAAGGGTGTCAGTAATTTTAGATGAAGAGGACTCACTCAGGGCTCGTGCTGTACACGTGCACCCTGGGCAGAAGAGCAATTCTGGACTGGCATGGAGACCACTTAGTGCCTTAATGAGCTTTCTTTGACTTTAATAGCTGGGATATACCTAAATGAGCTTTTTGTCTGGCTGCAGATGGGGATGTACATATTAACCTTTTGAAATATTGTCCTTGTGTAAACTGTTTCTTCTCATGATGCAAATGGAAAAAAAAGCAAGTTGGTCAGAAGAATGAGATTCTGCATTCTACACTTCACAAATAATTTTTTTAGGCTTGTCTTACATTTATGTCACCTACTGATTTGGGATGTAATAAAATTATCAGGAGAAAATTAAAAATGTATGTGTGCCTACCTGAATTAAAATGACCCCTCCTCAAAGTATACATAATAAGGTTTAGTTTAGATACAAAATTAGAGCCAGTCTTTGTAGCTTGTTTCTGCTGGTGTCTCTGCAATATCCCAAGCCAAACTAAATACCCCAGAAATTCCAAGGAAGTTTCAGAGCTGAAGCTGCAGCTGATGTCTAATCCTGTGTCCTCTGAGTCAGTAACAGAAAAGCCACTGACTTCAAAGGGTGAAAATTTCATACATGAACTTTATGGCTCTGAGCCCTTTCTAATCAAAGAAACAAAACCCACCAGCAGGCTTATACAACGTTCTCCAAAGACCTGTCTTGATGCAGCAAAGCACATGAAAATATTCTTAACCCTAGCATAACTTTGAACTTAAAGCACAGCTTCCAGGACTTGACAGAAGTATCCCAAGCTATTCAGTATTAAATCAGCTGTGGGTGGGGCCTTGTCCCTCTTTATTTTTAAAGTAACTTGATTTTTATCACAAAGGACCAGGATGAAGCTGAGCCAGTTGCACGCAAGGAGGGTGTCTTGCATCCTGGGGTGCTCAGTTTGGGGTGCAAGCAGCTCGGCTGGCTGGTCTGGTCGGGCATCTCCCCCACCTTCCCCATCTCCAGGCTGGGCCTTTGCCCTCACACTTTCTGGGCACTAACCTTTGCCCTCACACTTTCTGGGCACTAACCTTTGTC